AGTGTTGTACCCCATATTGTCTATCCCACTACAGCCTACACAGAATATCGCATATGAGTTTGACAGCCTTCGCTGTCTTTTGAAGATCCAGTTTTAGTGGTCGAAAAAACTTCGTGTGTAAACGGCTCTGATTACTAGGTGTGAGGATCTAGGATCGAGCTCAGAAGAGAGTTTGAATTGAATGATCCACCTGAGTAGAACACAAGGCTATATATAGTCTCAACACAAGGCCAGTTACTCGGGTTTTATGTGAATGTTCTGAGGGTAGCGAAGCGTCCCGAAAAAAACCTTCCTGAACTCGGTAGAAAGCAATTTCGGTGGCAACCGAAAAGGCTTGATTTCGGTACACGTAACCTGTTTCGATGCTATAAATATAATAATATATAGGAAAGCACCTAACCTAGGAAAACAAGCATAACTATGCATGATAAAAAACCAAAGCTTGTAATTGGCAAACATATATGGCATAGTCTGTGTAGGCTGCAGTGGGGTAGACTATATGGGGTACAACACTGCTAGGTTTTCTTACTTGTACCCTCCTCCTTGCTAGTTCAATCATTCCTTGTCCTATCCTTTTCACATGGTTTCAGAGCAGGTTCCCTAGTGGGACCGGTTTTTTTTTTAGGGCCGAGCACGAACTTTTTATTTTCTGCCCTGCCCGAATCACGCGCCTTGCGCCTGCCTATCCGCGCCCTCGAGCGCCTGCCTGCCTACTCGCGCCCTCGAGCGCCTGCCTACCCGCGCCCTCGAGCGCCTGCCTACCCACGCCCTTGAGCGCCTGCCTATCCGCGCCCTCAAGCGCCACCCTGCCGCCCTGCCCTGCAAGCCGCGCTCGGGCCTGCCCTGCACCAGCGCAGCCGCCCCTGGACCCCGCGGCGCGGCCCCTGGACCCCGCGACGCGTCACCCTGTTCGTCGCGACGCCTTGTGCGGGACCCAGGCGTCGCCCCTGCCTCGTCGCGACGCCCCGCGCGTCGCCTTCGCCTCATCGCGACGCCCCTGCTGCACTCGCTTTGCGTGGCTCCTGCGCGTCGCGATGCCCCAACGGGACCCGGACGTCGCTCCCGCTCATCGCGACGCCCTTGTGAGACATGCGCGGCATCGCCCCTGCCCGCCGCGGCGCCCTGCCCTACACCGCCCCCGCCCTTCGGACGGCCGCCCCTGCCCCGCCCTACAGCAGCTGCCGTCGCGGCCCTGCCCCGCCCTGCAGCAGCTGCCGTCGCGGCCCTGCCCCGCCCTGCAGCAGCTGCCGTCGCGGCCGTGTCTCGCCCTGCAGCAGCTGCCGTCGCGGCCCTGCCCCGCCCTGCAGCAGCTGCCGTCGCGGCCCTGCCCCGCCCTGCAGCAGCTGCTGTCGCGGCCCTGCCCCGCCCTGCAGCAGTTGCCGTCGCGGCCCTGCCCCGCCCTGCAGCAGCTGCCGTCGCGGACCTGCCCCGCCCTTCAACAGCTGCCGCGGAGCCCCCCCCTTGCCACGGTCGTGGCCCCACCCTGCAGCAGCTGCCGCGGAGCTCCCTGCCGCGCCCCGCCCTTCAGCAGCTGCCGCGGAGCCCTCGTCCTGCAGTCGTAGCGGCCCCGCCGTCGCCGTCGTCGTGCGCCTGCCCTTCTCGCCACTGGTGAGCACTGCCCTAGCCGCGCTACTATTGCTGCTACTGCTGTTACAGCTGCTCCTGCTGCTACTACTCTTTCTACTGCTACTGCTGCTTGTGGCGTGGCCAGATGCAGCTCCAGCGCCGTCCCCGTGAGTCCCTCACGCCCCAGCAGCTTCGTGAGTGGTACGCTAGTTGTGGTTGTAGGGGTGGCCGCGCTACTACTGCTGCTACTGCTCTTACTGCTGCTTCTGCTGCTACTGCTGCTACTGGTGCTCCTGGCGGTGGCTAGATGCAGCTTCAGCGACGTCCACGTGAGTCCCTCACGCCCTAGCAGCTTCGTGAGTGGTACGCTAGTAGTTGGGGTTGTCAGGGTGGTCGTAGTGGGAGTCGTCTTGGAGTGGGTAGTTCCGGAGCTTCTTGTAGCGGCCACGTGCAGCTGCAACGTCGTGCGCGCGAGACCCTTTCGCCCCAGCAGCTTCGTGAGTGGTACGCTCAGAGTAGAGGGTCACAGAGTACTGCTCGCTGCCCGTACATCATTCACACAGGTGTCCAGACTGGTCAAAATTGCGGGACGGTTATTCACACGGAGTCCCGCTGCTTCTTCCGTCTGAGCGACGCTTGGCGTACAGAGTTTGGCAACGACGCTGAGCTCCCCTCCTGGCTGGAGCTGCTTAGGCAGAGGGTAGATATATTTGCTCTTGACTATGATGCTATCCTCACTGCCATGTATGCATTGTCTACTAGTGCCGAGGGTGCATGTCACCTGTGTGTGCCGCCTGACCCCTGTATCCAGTCTGCTGCTCTAGGTACTGGTGAGGCTGCTGCTCTAGGTGCTGATGCGTCTCCTGCTCCAGGTACCGGTGAGGCTGCTGCTCTAGGTGCTCGTGCGTCTCCTGCTCTAGGTGCCAATGAGGCTGGTGCTCTAGGTGCTCGTGCGTCTCTTGCTCCAGGTGCTGGTGAGTCTGCTCTCTCTAGTGTTGCGCCTGCTGCGGTCTTGCACACCTTCACTCTTGACTCAGGGGCTTCCCGCTCCTTCTTTCGCGACTGCACCACACTCACGCCGCTTAGTCGGCCAGTTGCAGTCTCCCTGGCTGACCCCTCTAGGGGTCCAGTCCTTGCCCACTACTCCACGGTTCTGCCGTGTCCGGCCGCCCCATCCGGTTCGCTGTCAGGTCTTTACCTCCCCTTGTTCTCTACGAACTTGGTGAGTGGAGCTGACCTCCAGGATGGGGGGGTTGACCAGTTCACGCCTGCGAGTCAGCGAGTGACTTACTGTACGTGTGCTCGGACGGGCTGACACCTGGCCACTTTCACTCGTCAGACTGGCTCGAGCCAGTACATACTGACTACCGTGTCTCCTCCAGTTGCTGCGTCTGCTCAGGTAGCCGCGTCTTGTCAGGCGTTTGCTCCTGCGTCCCGATCTGGTCCTGAGTCTCCCCCCTGCTCATGTCGCATCTTGTCGCACGAGACTCTTCTCTGGCACCACCGCCTTGGTCACCCCTCCCTGCCTCGTCTCCGAGGCATGGCCTCCCGTGTCCTTGTCTCTGGTCTTCCCCGGTCTCTCCCTCCCCTTCCCCCGGGGCCTGCCCCTACCTGCATTCCTTGCATCGAGGGGCGGCAGCGCGCCGCTCCTCACTCCTCCGAGTTCCCTCCGACAGAGGCTCCCCTGCAGAATCTTCACATGGACAAGTGGGGCCCAGCCCGCGTCCAGGGACAGGGTGACGAGCCTTATTTTCTGCTGGTCGTTGACGACTGCTCGCGTTACACCACAGTCTTCCCCTTGCGCCGCAAGGGTGAGGTCACTGAGGTGCTGACCAACTGGATCCGCACTGCCCGTCACCAGCTCAGCGAGAGTTTCGGCTCGGACCTTCCTGTTCTGCGTCTGCACTCCGACAGAGGCAGAGATTTTTCCTCCGACCTTCTGCGACCCTTCTGTCGGGCCGTGGGCATCCGCCAGACGTTCACGCTTCCGGCCTCTCCGCAGCAAAATGGGATTGCTGAGCACCGTTTTGGCATGGTCATGGGCGTCGCTCGTACGTCCATGATCCATGCGGCTGCTCCCCATTTTCTGTGGCCGTTCGCGGTTCAGTACGCTGCGCATTAGATCAACCTCCAGCCCCGGGTCTCCGTGCCGGAGACCACACCTACTCTGTGGCGGATGGGGAAAGTTGGCGATGCGTCTACGTTCCGTATCTGGGGATCTCGAGCTTTCGTCTGCGACTTGTCTTCGGACAAGCTGTCCTCCCGTGCTGTTCCCTGCGTCTTCCTTGGCTTCCCCCCCTAACGCGCCTGGTTGGCAGTTTTACCACCCCACCTCACGCCGTGTTCTGTCCTCTCAGGACGTCACGTTTGACGAGTCGGTTCCCTACTACCGTCTCTTCTCCTACCGCGCTTCTCCCCTTCCCCCCCCGCCGCTCTTCCTCGCGCCAGGTCCTCCCTTGGTAGACCCCCTCCCCCCTCAGGGTCCTGCCCCCTCAGGTGTGTCCCAGGTTGACGCACTCAAACCTGTCGAGTTAGCTTTTGACTCTGGTGCTGCTAGAGGTGCTGAGCCTGCGGGTGCCGGGTCTTGGGGTGCTGAGCCTGTGTGTGCGGAGACTGGGGGTGCTGGTTTTGGGGGTGCTGAGCCTGGGGGTGCTGAGCCAGGGGGTGCTGAGCCTGGGGGTATTGAGCCTGGGGGTGTTGCGCCTGGGGTTGCTGAGTCTGGGGGTGCGGAGCCTGCAGGTGCTGAGCCTGCCCGAGTGGAGTCTAAAGGTGCTGCGTCCCATCGGGAGCCGCTCTCCCCACGACAGCCGCGTGAGTGGTTTGCTGGGCAATGGAGCCGTGCTGTTGGAGCTGGTGGTGTTGCTGGAGCTGGTGGTGCTGCGGGTGCTGGAGGTCCTGCTGTTGCTGGAGCTACTGGGGGGTCTGGAGCCGCTGGTCCAAGAGGTGCTCGTACTGGAGGTACTGGAGCTGCCGGGCCTGGTGGTTCTGTTGACGCTAGAGCTACTGGTGGTACTGGGGTTTCTGGTGGACTTGCTGGAGCTGGAGCTGCTGGGGGTGCTGGAGCTGGAGGTGCTACTGGAGCACGTAGTGCTGCTGGAGTTGGAGCTGACGCTGGGGGTGCTGGTGCTGTCCCTGCTGGTTCAGGAGACGCTGCGCGGCTGCGGGCGTAGTTTGTTCTGCTCCTTCAGCAGGTTCTTGGTCTCCCGCCTTCTACTGTTCCTGCTCCTTCCTAAGAGTGTACAACGCCTGTCTAGTCGCATTCACAGTTACAGCCCGCCTCCCCTCTGCCTGCTCCTTCTCCTTACACTGGTCCGACAGGAGGTCTTACTGAGTGTCGTGAGCCTGTGTCTCGTCCTGCGTCGCCTATTCGTGCTGCTCGCACTGGTCGTCGTGTTTCGTGTCAGCGTCCTCCTCCTATCCCAGGCACGCACAAGATGGCACTTCGTCCGTCCACTGCTCCACAGCGTGTCCCTCTACCGTCTCCTCCTGCGTCCTCCCTTGCTGACGGTCCGGACCCTGAGTCTGACTCTCTTCGTGCTGCTAGTCCTACTATCACGCGTCTCCTGGCCACTGTTGTTACTGACCCTTCCTTTGAGTCCACTGCTGCGTCTGTCTTGGTTGCTGGGCTTGTCGACTTTGCTGCTCACTGTCGTCTAGACTACGCCGCTAGTCTTGTTGCTGAGTCTGAGCCTATCTGTCCTCCGTCCGTCGGGGGTGAGTGTGCTCTTAGCATGGACGTCCTTGAGGACAGGTAGGACGAGTTCCAGTGTTTATCTGCTGCTTTACCTCATCTCGTGTCCATGTTGGTTGCCCTTGAGGGAGACCCGGATGCACGAGACATCCCGACCCCGCGCTCTTACGCAGAGGCGATAGAGGTTCCCTACTCCTCTCAGTGGAAGACAGCCATGGATGCACAGATGGCTTCCGGGAAGTCCACAGGCACCTAAGTCGACGAGGTTCCCCCACCTGGGGCGAACATTGTCGATGGCATGTGGATTTTCAGGGTAAAGCGGCCGCCGGGTTCTCCGCCTGTCTTCAAGGCGCGTTACGTGGCTCGAGGCTTCAGTCAGCGGCAGAGATTTGACTACTTTCAGACCTTCGCTTCCACCCCAAAGATGACCAATGTTCGGGTGCTGCTGCACGTCGCTGCTCAGCGAGACTACGAGCTTCACTCTCTTGACTTCAGCACAGCCTTTCTGCAGGGCAGCCTGCACGAGATCTGGCTGCGCTGCCCACCTGGCTTCACTGGGTCGTTTCCTCCTGGTACCCAGTGGAGCCTCCGGCGGCCAGTCTACGGTCTCCGCCAAGCGCCCCGTGAGTGGCACGACACACTGAAGACTACGCTTGCGGCTCTTAGGTTTGCTCCTTCTACTGCCGACCCGTCGCTGTTTCTGCGCACTGACACTACTCTGCCGCCGTTCTACATCCTCGTGTACGTCGACGACTTGGTCTTTGCTACTGCTGACACTGCTGGACTGGCCCACGTGAAGTCGGAGCTGCAGAAGAGACACTCGTGCACAGACCTTGGTGAGCAGCGCAGCTATCTTGGCTTGCAGATCACCCGGGACAGAGCACGGCGCACCATTCCCCTGACTCAATCACACATGGTGCAGCAGGTCCTTCAGCGCTTCAACTTCACGTACTCCTCGCCTCAGGCCACTCCTCTGCCAACTCGCCACTCGCTCTCAGCTCTGCCTTCGGATGAGTCCGTAGAGCTGAGTGGCCTATACCCAGAGCTTGTTGGCTGCCTCAGGTACCTGATGACCTGCACTCGACCTGACCTGGTATACCCTCTTAGCATCTTGGCACGCTATGTTGCTCCTAGGAGACACCGACTAGAGCACATGGATGCAGCTAAGAGAGTGTTGCGCTACCTGTGCAGTACGTCGGGCATGGAACTCGTGCTTGGAGGACGGGATCGAGTTGTCCTCACTGGTCACACAGATGCTTCTTGGGTTGACGACTTGGCTACGCAGCGGTTGTCGCAGGGTTACACCTTCAGCCTTGGTTCCGGCTCTGTTTCGTGGCAGTCTACCCGCTCTTCTTCTGTTCTCAACTCCAATTGTGGGGCTGAGATCTACGCTGGGGCCATGGCTGCACAGGAGTTATGCTGGCTCACCTACCTGCTGACCGACCTGGGAGAGGCGCCTCGTTCCCCTCTAGTGCTGACAACAAGGCCATGCTGGCCTTGTGTCAGGAGCACAAAATGGAGCACAGAACGAAGCACATTGCTCTGCGTTACTTCCTTGCTCGAGAGTTACAGCAGCGTTGTCAGCTTCGTCTTACTTACGTGACCTTTCGGGCCAACACTGCTGATATCTTTACCAAGGCACTTCAGCCTTGTGATCATCAGCGCTTTTGTACTATGCTAGGTCTTGTGCCTACTTGGCCCCACTTGCTCACTTCTTGATTCTGCTTGTACTGTGATCTATATATACCTGCACTTGCATGCTTACTCTTGCTAGGTTGAGATCACTGCCTTGCTTGTTCATCTTGATAAATAGCTCTGCATGTGAACTTGCCTTATGGCCTTGTGCTTGTGCTCAGATTGTGTGGTGACGTTGTGATCCACCCTGAGCTTGCCTTGCTTTGCTTGACTGGTCTTGTGACCTCTTGTTCTCCCCCACTTTGCCTATGGGGGTGTGTCAGACATATATGGCAGAGTCTGTGTTGGCTGCAGTGGGGTAGACTATATGGGGTACAGCACTGCAGTCGTAGGTGACTATCTGCAGTCGCAAGCTGTCAATCTGTGCAGATGTGCGCACCCACCAAGTAGGTGCAGGTTGGCGGTTTCGCTGTCAAGCACATTGCGCAGGGGCCAGGTAGAAAACTTGTCGTCGATTTTGCCAGGTGCGCACCGTCGACCCCGTGATGCCGTTCCATATGTAGAACTTCACCAAAACCTCCTGGTCAAAAGTTCGCACACCTTTACAGAATTTTGCACAACTCTGCAACTTTGGTCGATCAGCTCGACATCGCTCGGTTGAACAATGTTCGCCGAGCAGAGCTCCTCGACCCGAACTCTTCGACCATAGTTCCTCGACTGAACTCTTCGACCAGATTTCCTCGACCCGAACTTTTTTACTAGAGTTCTTCGACGAGCGCTCTTTGACGGGAGCTCGTCGCGCAGAGATCGTCGACTATAGCTCGTCGTGAAGAGCTCGTCGGCGAAATTCTGTCGAGCAGAGCGTGCTCAACCGCAACTTCCATCGAACTGCAAAATCCCGTTTCGTCAACCAATCCGTTGCGAACTTGTCGTCGACGACGAGATCGGCTGCGCCCAAGCGGGGGCAGGGCCTTTCTCTTCGACACTCCTCTGTCCAGCGCACGCTATGGCACCCACACACAAGGTCCACCCAGAACCTAGAGGGATAAAATACAAGGAGGAAATTTTTCTTCGTGCACCCAACATATAGCACGCATGTAACCAGACCAGCCGTGTAGAAGGGCACGGCACCTACTGCTGCACCTCGTCATCCCCGTCGCCCGCGTCGGCCAGACGCAATTGGCCGTTTGCGACGGAGCACTGGCTGAAATCTGGAAAATGCCGTATCTTTGTCAGAAAATCCGCCGGCTGCTCGGAGGTCGAGATGTACTGCAGAGCAATCTTCCCGTACTTAACCATCTAATGCAGCCAGACGTAGCGTCGCTCCATGTGCTTGAGGTTGCCTTTGAGCCCCAAGCCCTCTACAACAGTGATAGCGGACTGGTTGTCTACGTGCAGAACAGTCGGCTTCCTTGCATCGAGCAGGCGAAATTCTGCATCTAGGAAGCGCAGACCACGAGCATCCTTATTGGCTTCGGTGGTTGCGACGTACTCTGATTCGGTCGACGAAAGCGTTACGCACTTGATGCGCTGGCTTGACCAGGAGACTGCGGCTCCTCCGAAGAAGAATATGTAGCCGCCCGTGCTCGTCCGATTCTTCGTGTCGCCACCGTCGTCGGCATCTGCATAGCCGACCAGACACAGCGACTCAAGTCCACTGCCGAACTCCATAGCAGCGTCACGAGTTTCAGCAAGGTAGTGCCGGTGGTTGTCGCGCCGCACTGTGAGGCCGGATCCGAGCTTGCTGCAAGCGAAAGCAATGCCGGGCCTCGTCGTGGTGGCCGCGAACTACAGCGAGCCGACCTTCTGCCGATACTCTGCTTCCTCACGCGACTGAAACTCCTCGTCGTCGAACACCAGCTCTGCGTAGGCGTAGACGGAGACCAACGTCTTCGGCACCCGCATGGTCTGCTCCTCGTCGATGAAATGCCGACGCAGCTTGTCGACGTAGACTTGCTGGTGATGCCATAGCTTCCTCGTAGGATGGTTGCGCACGATTTCTAGCCCGAGACACTTCTCGACCGGGCTGATTTCGTGCAGCTCGAAGGCAGCCTCCAGCAGCTCCCTCAGCTCCTTCAGCATCGCAGTGCTGCTGCTTGCAGCGAGCAGATTGTCGATGTAGACGAGCACCCAACACGCCACTCCGTCGTCGCCGACGTTGAAGTAGAGCGCCTCATCGACCTAGCTCTTCTTCCAACTCGCTCCGGTGAGCATTGCGTCGAGCACCGATTACCATAGCAAGGGACTCTGCTTTAGCCCGTACAAGCTCTTTAGCAGCTTGTAGACACGACCGGTGCCATCGTTGAAGTAGTCGGGCTGGTACATGTAGAGGACGCGATCCAGCTTGCTCTGCAGAAACGCATTTTTCATGTCCAGCTGCATCAGGTGCAGGTCGAGCACAGCTATGGTGCTAAGAAAGATCCGCAGAGCTACGTAACTTTCCACCAGCAGTGACGAGGCGGCTGTTAGGTGTTTGCTTGGGTGGAGGCTCGGATTTCACTTGCTCTGCCATGCCATTCACTGCTCTGCCATGCTCTGCCTGCCTGCCATGGCGTGAAATCTTGTTGTTTAAGCTTTGATGTGTTTTGTAATCTTCTTGATGTGCCATGCTCACCGGCGAATATGTCTTGTCGTAATCTGCGCCGTAAAACCTGCGTGAAGTTTTTCACAACCAAGCGGGCCTTCTCGCGTACGATAGTGTCGTCGACGTGATACTTCGTCGTGAGCACCCATCGGTTCTTCATGATGTTGACAACTCGCGGACGCTTAACCAGCTCCTACGTCCCGTTAGAGATGAGACTCTTGATCTCCTCGTCCATGGCCGCTTTCACCGCCTCGCCCTTCCAGCTAGCCAACGCCTCTTTCACCATCATGTTGGCGATGTCTCAGCGGTGCTTTGGGTCAGCATGCATGTCGGGGTCGAGTTCAGGCAAATGCACGTCGGCCTCTGCGTCGTCGAGCAGAGTGCTGTAGGCTGTTGGCAGCAGACAAGCGTGGTAGCTCAGCTTCTCTAGCGGCTTGCCGATGTTGGGGCGGGTAGAACGGCGTGGTCTCTCCCTTTCGACTGCGACCTCTACCACGTCTTTGTCGTCGGACTGCTCCCATGTCGACAGCTCGTCTTCACTGCTCCCCCAGGATCGGCTGAAGCTCTTCTTTGCCAACGGCTCCCCTGAAGCTGGAGCCTCAGCTGATGCCTCCTCTGTAGTCTGCTTCGGCGCCTCTGCCAGTACCTTCTCTACAAGTGGCACCTCTGCCGACAGCTTCGCTGAAGTGGGCTTCGATGCCGGCAGCTCCCCTGTCTTCTGCCGCTTCCCATCGCCGACCTTCACGGCGTCACGTCGGCCACTAACAATGCAACCGGTCGGCGCCGCAGGCGACGCACCAAGTCTCCCCTCATCGCCGGTGGCCGACAAGGGCACACCAGGAGGAGGGAGTGGGACTTCCTCGACGCCTTCGTCATCATGCTTGTCGACGATGGAGAGCAGAGGAGGCATCTTCGAGGAGGAATCTGGCGGCGGGGCAGACGGCGTCCTCGTCGACGTCGGGCAGAGGCCTTGACGAGGTCGGTGAAGGCGCGACCGAGGAACTCCCTTACGCAGTCCGAACGCAACTTCTTCACCATCTTCGACAGCTGCCGCTCCACCTCCTTCAGCCATTTTTCGAAGACGACCAGCACGTCGCTTTTCTTCGCGATTGGCCTCACCCACACGTAGCGAGTCTTCATATCTTTCAGCAGAAGAAAGTAGAGGCTGCCATCGTTGGTGGCCACACAAAATGGCCCGCACAGGTTGATGTGCACCATATCAAGCGCATTCTCGGCGTCCGATCCTTTATCAAGGAAGGTGTGACGCGTGCAAGTTTGCCGCCGACGCAGGAGGCACACGGCAGATCAGCTGCGGTCGACTTCTTGATGTCCAGACCGGCGGCGACCTCATGTCTCGCCGAGCTCTTGATCGTGTCGACGCCGACGTGCGCAAGTCGTGTGTGCAACGTGTCCGGGGTAAATTTCGTCACCGACGCGATAGTCCGCAGAGCTACTACCTCCGTCGAAGGCATCGTCGACTTCGTCGAGCAGGGGCACAGGTCGGTGCAGAGAATTCTGCCAGAGTGGCGTGCTCGACCAAGGACATCGCCAGCAGAAAACACCAGCAGCATCTCTCCGCCGTCGTCCTGCAGCTTCACTCCGTTCTCCTTGAGCTGGCCAGCAGACAGCAGGTTTCGTGCACACCCGGAACGTAGAGTACGTCGGGGACGAGGACCTACTTCCCGGCCTCCCCTTGCAGAGCAACGGTGTCTCTATCTTCGGCGCTCTGAAGTGCCCCGTTGAAGCCGTGAACGTGGCGCACCTCTCCGCGGCTGCATGTCCATGAAGGCCTCCTTCATAGCAGCAGCGACCGCCTTGAAGTCTTTGCCAGCCTCCAGCGCCAGCGAGATCGTCGGCTCCACCACACTGACCATCGAGCACGAAGCCTCCTCACCATGAGCATTGCCACCAGAGGAGTCGGCATCCTTTGTCGAAGATGTCTTCGACGCCTGCTTCTTGTTGCGCGCCTGGTTGTCGCGATGGCAACGGCCACCATATCCCTTTCTGCGGTTGGTGTTCCATTCGTCGTCAAACTCGTCACGATCGGGGCAGTCGTACGAGAGGTGGTCAAGAGCATCGCAGATGTAGCAACGGCGGCCTTTTTGACGCGAGCCACTGCTGCCTTGATCTCCACCTTTCGCCGACTTCCCGCGGTCGGTGCCCTCTGTCGATTTCGCGTTCGAATTCCCACCACCACCTCCAGCAGACTTCCCATGTTGC